AAATGGGATTGCTTCTTTACTCTCACTTTCTGTAAGTTCACTATTGGTGTAAAGAAATGCCATAGATTTCTTGGCATTAATTTTGTATCCTGCTACATTGCTGAATTCGTTTATTAAGTCTAATAATTTTTTTTGATGGAGTCTTTAGGGTTCTCTATGTACAGTATCAGCAATTTTTTTTAATCAAAACATTTACTTCACTGGTTCGTAACCACGTGGGTGTTTCAAAATAAATAATAGTAACTTGGCTTTACCCCAAACTTATTAAACCAGAAGCTAAGAGGCAGGATTAGTAACTGACCAACAGACCAAAAGTCCCTTGAAGAAAGAAAGATGAAAATAACTAGATCTAGCTGATTATATCCCTCCGAGTCAAAGAGGCACATACTGAGTAGCGGAGAGTGTTATGAGCATTTGGAGTTAAGCTCCCAGTAGACTCAGTAGGAAGAGAGCGCTACAATGGGCCCGGTTGTGCTCCTGGTGCTCTGTCTCTCCTGTTTGCTTCTCCTGTCGCTGTGGATACAGAGCTCTGGAAGAAGGAAACTTCCACCTGGCCCTACTCCTCTCCCAATTATTGGAAACTTACTCCAGCTAGATGTGAAGAACATCAGCAAGTCCTTAAGCAATGTAAGTATGTTTTTTGTTCTTCCAGCAGCTTGCCATGGGTAAGGAAATTAACATCTACTTCTAAATAAAATAGAGTTATTAAAATATGTGTTAAAATAAAATCATTAAAGCATGTCATTGTGAAGCAAATACTCCCCGTAGAGTATTATTTTTGTTTTTTTTCAACCACAAGAACAGTGAAATAAAATACTAAGCATTTTATGAGGTACATTAGGTCTCTGTAGGCTATAATCAAAAGATAAAGTAGCAAAAGATGGGAGAGCTGTTGCCTTCTTTAGTTTCACCATTATTTACAGTGATTTTTAGCTGAAGATAAATGGTAAGGAAGATGTTTTTGATTAGAAATTTCAAGAAGTCACTGGAAGAAGATTTGACTTTGGGTGGTGGGCACACAATGCAATATTCTGATTACATATAGAATTGTACACCTAAACCTATATAATTTTATTAACCAATGTCACCCAATAAATGTAATTTAAAAAGGAAGCCATCTATAATAATAAAAGCATAATATGCTAATTAGACTGGACAGCCAAACAACTTTCTGGATGTCCTTCCGGACGACCTTCCAGACGAATCCGGGGCTGCGAGGGCCGGGCCCCTTGCATGAATTTTGTGCATTCGGCCTCTCGTCTATTATATAAGCACCGTGTTTTGTTCAGAATAAGTAGGAAAACTGTATTTCTCAAAGGAAGCAAATTATGCCTGATGTCAAGGAAAAAACTGGGATTAGGAATAGTGAGTGAAAGAGAGAAGTTATCAGGGCCAGCTTGCTGATAACAGGATCCTTTGGGCAAAGTCAGCAGCTCTGTGGCTGCCTGTGGCTCAGACTGCTGAAGGTGGAAGAAACTGCTTGTCCATGAGCTGCCGCATGTCCTGGTGCTGCCCCCGTGGTGCTCCCTCCTTCTGTGTTAATAATACAGAGGATCATGAACTGGGCTGGGCATTAGGATCATCCAGGGTGAGTTTCTTTAAGGATAGGATTCCAGTAGTCATTACAAGGCTACTGAATCAGAATTCTGATGGCAAGAGCTCCTCGGGTGATCCTGAAGGAGCAGGTGGGATCATTGGAGATTGACATATTGCTAAAGGATCTGAGGTTGATCACTTCTTGACCTTTTGGCTAAGATAAAGTGCAGGATCCGAGGTTGCATAAATAGAGGCTCAAATTTCAATTTGTATATAGCAGCTAGGGGATGCAGAAAACGCACTGAAATTCTCTGACATCCGCTGACAATGCTGCTTTGAGGATTAATTGTAATACATGTACAATTTACCCAGGCCATTTCGGGGCATGTAAATGGCAGCTGTTAACAATCACCCTCATAGTTATATATTAACTTCAAAAATATTCTAGGCCATGTCAGAAAAAAAATAAACCAAGATGATAATATTCTGAATCGGGCACAATATATCGTCAAATAGTGACATTTTTGGCTAACATTTGAATCTCCTTTCCATTTCCCAGCTCTCAAAAGTCTACGGCCCGGTGTTCACTGTGTACTTTGCCAGGAAGCCCATGGTGGTGCTGCATGGATATGAGGCCGTGAAGGAAGCCCTGATCGACCGGGGCAAGGAGTTTGCTGGAAGAGGCAGTTTCCCAGTGTTTGAGAAAGTTAACCAAGGGTTTGGTAGGTGTGCGTGTGGAATAGGGATGGGGAGGATGGAAAATAGGAATTTTAAGATCTCTTCAGAAAGCTTGGCCCCTCGGTGTGGACGCCAAGGGTCAGCTTCCTCCTCCTTGTCTGGGACCTCACTGCCAGTTTCTGTTTCCCTCCTTGGTAGGAATCCTTTTCAGCAATGGAAAGAGATGGAAGGAGATCCGGCGCTTCTCCCTCATGACCCTGCGGAATCTGGGCATGGGGAAGACGAACATAGAGGACCGTGTTCAAGAGGAAGCCCGCTGCCTGGTGGAGGAGTTGAGGAAAACCAATGGTGGGTGATTCTATGCACTGTAACCCTGACCTTAACCTTTCAGGGCGGTCAGCTCCTTCATATGGGTGTGGTGTCAGCCTCCCGCGGAGGAGTGAGGGTCTGAAGCAGAGCGCAGGGAGGTTTTGTGTGTCTGTGCTCCTTGTGCGTGCATACCCTTGATTGTGCATAGTGTGGATACAAAGGGTCATTCGTTCCTATTTTCTCTAAACTTTAACTATTTTCACATCCGAAATCACAAAGGATATTTTTGAGTCTCATAT